TAAAGTAATTGTTATTCATTTTGAACTTCCTGTGTTGGGTCAGTCTCCTGTAAAGCATCTTGAATGGCATATGATTTGTTTGAAAGGTGCTGTATTAATAAAGTCTGATTGATTACAGTGGCCGCTGCAGAGGTGAGTGTTGCAGGTGATCTGTGGGCCTAAAGGGTTTTAAAGCATCAGGTATGTGGCTTATAGTGTTGCCTGTCTCGTGAAATGTTGGGTTGATGCAGTGTCCATGATGCTGCTGAGAAGTAACTTATTGTTTAAATCATGAATGGTGCATGTTCTAATAACAGGTGGAGTAATAAACATGAATGTATCATAGAATATTAAACATTGAAGCTTGATTGTAGGATTTAGCCATTCTTGACCTTTGAAACTGTGGTAAAATATTTTAAACTCTTGGTTCACTTTACCTTTTTTCGTGTTGACATCGGTTTTATTTCCTTGTTGCTCACTTGTCTAAATATCATGTGTGAAAAGACAAATATTAAATGCAAAATCAATCTGTTTTCAATAAAACATTTTTTTTCCTTATTAAAACCTGTCATGTGATAAAGTATTTAAGCGGTAAATCATCCCTTTGCCACAAAGGTTGGCCAGCGCATTTCAAGAATACAAACATGGCAAAAAAAGCATTATTATTACTTCATTAATACAATGTTTATGCCATTTAAAAGTATTGTTCGCACCAAACACTGATTATAGAGCATATGGAAATCCATTATATTTACGCATTATTTACCACAGAGATAATTCATCATGTCCTGTGAAGGATTCATGAATAAGCAAATCTCATTAAGTTAAGGAGAAGACAAAGTATCAAGATGATAGAACAGTATATGAGTCTCTCAATCAAAATAATAACAAAAGACCTAGTTTCATGAAGCAGTGTGGGATCATGGGAGTTATTGTCTTCACCACCATTGCCAATGAAAATATAGCTGACGCGACTCTGACACAAATCATGTTAAGGGATTAGGTAATGTATTTAAGTTGTATTCATGTTATAAGGCTAACGGCAGTGACATCCTTTACCTGATCCTTTGTCATATGTTGTTTGTCCCAGAAGTGCGACAGACAAAGTCTTGGATATAGTGAATATTAAAGATGACCAAAATTAAATGTCGTTTTACTTTGAATGAAATTTTGGAAACATTTTGGATAATGTAAGTACCCAAGTTGGCGAAATAGGTCCAGTCGCTTTTAGACATTTGAATGAAGAATTGTTGCATTTGTTACATATTGTATCTTTATGTACGTTTTTTAACTATTAAAGGAGCTTCCAGGTCTCTGTGTTGAGTAAAGAACCACAAATTGTGTCTCACTTTATCAAAAGAACCGTCCAACGAGAATTTGCAGTGAGTTGCAGAATCAGCAGCAGAGGGCCCAGAAGTGGCATCAGGACTTTGGCTCTCTATTGTAAGTAGACCTATGACATTAGCAGGTGTCATCTCTTTAAAGAAACAAAACAACACCAGTGTGTTTTTTTATAGTTATCTCTGTTCCTCAGCCTCATTTTGTGCCTTTTCACATCATCCACTCTTTTTCTGTCTACCACTCCCTCCCACTCCTTTTTTACACCCGCCTCTCTCTCTCTGTCTGTCTTCTTCCTCTTCCCCCTTCATCGCAGGCCATGCAGGTTAGTCTGTGCAGTCCGTTGTGTTGTTTAATATGCACAGTCCATTCTTGCTCCTTTATTATTGTCCCAGTGGCGACGGAGGCCCTTTTCTTTGGCCAGACAATGGGCGGCGTCGTGACAGAGAGCACGGTGGTCATGTCCCATTTGCCACCCCGCGCTATCTCTCTATCCTGCCCCCCTTCTCACCCGCCGTCTGCTTTTCAATAGCACCCTAATACTGTTACAGGAGAGAAAGACCTGGGAGCCTTCAATACGCCCCAAGCCTCCGGGGCCACAGCTATATACATGCCATTAGCATAATTATAGCCTGAGAGAGGGAGAAAGACAGAGAGAAAGAGAGAGAGCGAGGCAGTAAAGGTGTTTGTAATGTGACAGTGGTCTTCCCTGCAGACCGACACACACACACACACACAC